GGATCTTGGGAGAGGTTGTGCTTGGGTGGCTAGCCTCTGGCGCTGTGGCCATCCCTGTTACTTGTCGTGCTTCTCTTGAGTAGTGTGTACATCTGCCTGAGCTGGGAATGACAGCTCCCAGCTGCAGTATACGTATTCTTATGGACAATGGACACCTGTCATTTTAAGAAATAGGCCCAAACCCACCTGTTTCCTTCATGTCTGCATATGAACAGCCATTAGACTGCAACAACTTCCAGTCCCTGCTGATCCTTGCTGCATTTGATTTTGTAACCTAGATAAGAAAGGGATCGATGTCCCCTTGCTTTCCTGACACTTCTAGATCCCTGCTTGTACAGTGCCAGCAGCCTTCCTGAAATACACGTTCATTCTTGGAGTATTCGGAGACTGCTAGAGCTTAAGCACGTCTTTCTTACACCTCATCCTGCCGGGAGATGCTCTCTCAAAAATAACCTGTTCAAATGTCCCTGGCTTTTAAGTCTCTCAAGCTCCACAAGTAATGCCAGACTAGATTGGCTCATAGTGGGTTGTTTTCCCTCTCGCTCTTGAAGTGCAGGAGTTTTGGCTTTCATTGGAAAATGATTTTTCTTGGATCCCTCCCATCTTTCCAGTGTGATTCTGGGAATGCTTCCAAGTAACAGTTAAACAGTCCAGTGGTGGTGTGGCTGTTGATGGATCAAAATATAATAAGAGGAAAATTAACATAAATGGGAAGGGAACTGTCAACTTGCAAATCATGACAGATGATTAATTTGCCTAAATACATGTTCCCCATTTAAAAAAAAACAACAACAAACTTCTGGGGTTTTTTTTGTTCTTTTTTAACATAAAAAGATCCAGCCCTTGTAGGCTACAAGTTTTGGATGTTGTCTAGTATTCAAAATACGCTTTATTTTCAGTTTATCAAATGCAATTGTCTGATTTAAGCTGCCTTAAAAATGTCATTTTTGTTGTTGAGATGGGACTGGAGCACCACTGAATAAGACTTTTTTTCCCATTTGTACTGAAACAGTCCTGCTGGGTTTGCTGTTCAGGATTTCCTTAGAGTTCATTTTGTGCTGATAAGACCTCAGTGCTGCCATTCCCACCCCTTTTCTGGACTTTCTAATGCATTTGAGGGAGGGTGGGGAATTGAAAGCTTAAACTCCTGCATATTGCAGTGATTCTCTCAGATGTGTTTAGCTACATGGATGGCTTGCACAGATGGACACAATGAATTTGCGGTGGTAAAGAAATGTCCAGGTTTTGTTTACAGGATACACCAGCTAATTGGGCCAATCCAGGGGCATTTCCCGTTAGCTCAAACATTTAAAAAAACAAAACAACCCAACAAAAAAAAAACTGAATATGGACACAGACCTCATAACATTGAAACATTTTAATATTGGAAGCCTTGCATATAGGCTTAGAGCCAGACCTGGTAAGGACTCAAGCAGTTTTAGCCTCCCTGTCCCCCCTAAATCAATGGAAACAGGGTACTCACCACCTCATAGGATTGGCCAATTAGAGTGGCAGACAATGTCATTCTTGGTTTACTTCCTGTGTGCCAAGGACAGATGGGCAGAAAGAAGCTTTAGACAACCATGAGATCAAAGGCCAAGTGTTAGGCAAGTTTATTAAATATGGGCTCTAAATTTCCTGGTTTTTGGAGGGGGTTTAATTCACTTTGTTGGTAATCTGGCCTAGGTTTTATCATTTAAGCATCTTAACTTTGGGTTCCATCTTTTTCTTATTTTAAGATCATAAGCTAAAATCTGTGTAGAGCTTCATTAAGGCCTTGTTTACACTTAGCTATGTCAGCAAACCCTCTTAGTTTAGATTCCGTTTACACTGGTGAGGATTTCAATGCTGGTATAACTTTGTCTACACTAAGGTAGTTGCCTGCATGACTTTATCAGCAAAGGATAGCACACCTAACCAACAGCTATGCCAGCAAAACTTGTAAGTGTAGACCAGATCTAAGGGAGAGTTGAACCCCCTGAGGAAAGAAAGGAGTATGCTTTAATCCAGAGGTTTCCAAACCAAGCTCCCTGGTGATACTGGCTGGTTGTGGGGTCCCAAGCGGTAGTGTTGCCTACCGGATCGAGCATTGGACTGGGACCCAGGAGACATAGGTTCTGTTCATGGCTGTGCCACAGACCTGCTGGGTGACCTTGGGCAAGTCACTTCCCTTTTCTTTGCCTCAGTTTCCCCATCTGTAAAATTAAGGTGATGGTACTTGACTCCTGTTTAAAGCACCCTGAGACCTATGGATTAAAAGTGCTATAAAAAGAGCAATTTGGCAGTGGTGTCTTTTACAAACCTAAAAATACAATAGACATCCTTCCATGGAAGCAAGTGCAGTAATTGCAACAGGGATATTATGCTCCTGAGTAGAGGCACAGGGAGTCTGCTGTCCTGTACAGGAAGGCGGTTGGCCATGGAATAATCTCGTACTAATGTGTGGTGGTCCAGGCTGCTGGAGCGGTACTGCCAATCCCCCATGTGTTCAAATCTCACGGGTCTGACTTAATTTACTTGGCTTGATTTTGTTTGCTCTTTGCTTTCTGGTGTTGAGGTCTCTAGGGGTCAGGTTTTTCAAGCTTTGCTCTTTAACCATGAGGGTTGCTTGGTTGTTCTCTCTCTCTTCCCCCCCCCCCCCCCATCCCGGTGAAAGCTGTGATTCTTAGGCACTCCAGGAGCTGGGGCATTGAGGGAAAAATGCATAAAATAGCAAGGGTTTGGAACATTGCTGCGTAGACTATTTGGGAACCCCTTGCTCTGAATCAAACTGGGGTTTCTGGCTTCTGTTCCCAGACCATCCTCTGATTTCTTAGGGTACTGAATAAGATAGGTATTCATAGATACTAGTATGGAAGGGACAAACCACTTTGCAGTTGTGTGGCTCAGTTTCCCTTTCTCTGAAATATCTAAAATCCCTCTCTGTGGGTGTTACGAGGCTTTAATGATTGATGCTGATAAAGTCTTTTGAGATCAGGTGAAAAGTGGTAGAGGTGCCATAGGGTTGGTTTTGTAAAAGTGTCAAGGACTGACCTGTGTGGCTGCTGAGTTTATTGCTCGGGGTGGGGGAAGGGGAAGGTCCTTTAGAATTGCTGTTTTTGTAAGCCAGTTGTTATGGGGGTCCATTTGCTGAGTAGGGAAATACCCCACTAGTGACAGCTCTTGGGCGAGCAGCTGCTTGCGGTGCTGGTGGGGGGAACCTGCCAGCTTTTCCTGGAGGAATTTTTCCCCTTTTGTGTTTTCAAGCTGACCCTACATTGGGTTGCCCTATCCTCTTCCCTCCCTCCTTCCTCCTCTTTTGATCCTGATCCACTGACTGGAGCACTTGACTGGCTGCTTTGTTTCAAACGTTGCTGTTTCATTGGCTGCAGGCTCAAATCTTCTTGGGTTCTTGCTCCAGTTCTTGTTGGCTTTGCTTTTTAACCCTTGCCCTTCCAAATCCAGCGGACAGGGGGATGTGGGAGTCCAGCTGACCTTTTTATTTTATTAAGCTATCACTCTTCCTGATTTCTGCCAGATCTGGATGTGCTTTCAGTCCCAGATAGTTAGGGGTTTTTTTTGTTTAAAAACCCTGTTAAATTGCTACCTGTCAGGTTATTGCATAGTAAAGTGACCGTAATTAATGCCTGGAACATGTAGGAAGGTTGTCAAGGCCTGAGATAAAACGTGACTTGTTTTGTTTTCTGTTAACCTGAAGGGAGAGTTTCCAATTTTGAGAGGTGGCTGGCGTTCAGTTACGCGGGTTGTCGTTGGTATTGGAAGCCAGTCTCCCTTTGCACTCTGGTTCCTTGTGCGAAGGAGTTAATGCTACTCTAGTTCTCTGATTTTTTTGCCTTAGGTTCAGTTTCTGTTGCTGGCAGCCTGGTGAAGTGTAACTGCAAGATGAGGAAGGGAAGGAAAGTCCGGTTTCATTGTGTCCATTGCAGGGAACAGACTCCCTGGGCTGAGAAATAGGCACTCTTATTTCGTTGCTATGGGGAGCTGCCCATTCCTCTCCTCTGATAAGAGGGGGTGGGACTGCAGAATAAGAGTGGAAAGTGAGAACCTGTGGGGGGTGAGGGACTGGAGGAAATACCGTGTTAATAAAACCCCATTCCACACACTCTGTGCGCGCACAGATCATATCATGTAACTCTGTGACTGGACGAAAGGGGTGAGGTGGGTTAAATATAATACCTGTGGCTTCTTTTAATAAAATCTTGTTAGGTAGGAGAGCTAGAGGTAACTGGGGAGCTCTACCATTAGAGGGATTTGGGGTGGGGGTGAGGTGGAGGATCAGATCACATCTAAGTCTTCTCACTTTTTGTTTGTGCATGATTGCTCCTACAGCAGTGGCTGACAACCTGTGGTCACAGACCTCAGGGGGGGTCCATGGATGCTGTTGAAGGGGTCTGCGAAAGACTTAGACTAGAAACTGACCAAACAGAGTACACGCAGGCAGGCAGGTAGGGCTGCCACTTGGGGTGGGTGTCTTTGGGTTGAAAAGGTGGCTTGAGGGGCTGGTCTTGACCACTGTTCCCTCTAAGCTGTGCGCGTGTGCCCACGCACACAGATCCTAAACCCCATGCACACGGTGAAACACCGCACGCACAGAAATTTGCACAGAAACCCAAAAATTTGCACAGAAGAAATTTTTTGCACACACGGTCCCTCAAAAATTAGAGGGAACATTGGTCTTGGCTGACTCATTACACCAGCTACTGTCGTGATGGGTGCGCTATTAAATACCGAAAGTTGGTCTAATAAAAGAGATTATCTCATCCACCTCCTCTCTCATAAATCGGAACACACACAACCCCTAAGGTCTAGCAGAGAAACACAATCCCAGCTGCTCCTTCCCTGTCCTCTACTCCCAATGCAGCAGCTCGCTTGCCAAGAAGTAGGTGGTGCTATGCCCTCCCCCCCACCATACACACTCCCTGATCCCCAGTGCAGACCAATTGCCACTGATGTGGGGGGAGGCGCCTCACAGTTAGCAACGTCAGAAATCTGGGTCTTGCTGAAACTGACGCCATGCATGCAAGCAAGCTGAGGTCAGGAGCAGCTGAGTTAGCGACTAAACCACAAGCCTCCTTCTCTATCAAGGAACAGAGCAAAGAAGGAAATCTAATCCCCTCTGGAGGGGGGGGAGGAATTGGTTATTTTTATCAACCTTTTTTTCCCCCCGGCATTATTTTTTCCTGTACTCTGAGTTAGGGCTCTTCCTGCGCCCCCGGCTCGTTAGCAGAAGGATGGTGAAGGTGAGTGGTTTGCTGCCTGGTTGCTTTATGCTGAGTTCAACACAGGGCGTTTTTTGGAAGGGAGAGTTGACTCTGAACTGTCTCCTGCCTGATTGGAGCTGGGGGCGGCCGTGTTTCAAAAGCTTGGAAGAACAAGGAGAGTCTCCCCGCCTTGAAGACAGGAGAAATGGACACCTGTTAACAAGCTGGCTTTTGGGAGGTGGGTGGGGGACTTTCCAAAGGGAATATGGCACTTGTATCTGTCCCTTTTTTCTGCAGAATATATTTCCTGTCTGGGATGTGGGTGCGGGTTCCGTTTTCTTCCACGCTAAAGTAAAAAAAAGAACAAAACAAAAACCACCTGTGCCTTACTTTTGTGACAATCTGAGCTGCCCAGGTGTTTGCGTTTTTTTTTTTGTTATCCCTGATAAAATTGGGGATGGCTGGGGAAAGTTTTCCCTTTCGTGTCCCCTCCTCAACAGCAGAGGTAAAACAAGAGCTGACTGTCTGATACAGGGCAAGCGTTTGAACTTTAAAAATGAACCCTCCAGTATGCACACTGCATTCAGTTCCAGCTGCAACCTGCTTTTAGGATGATTGTATAGGAAGGCTTGTTCGTATGTCTGAGTCAATGATGGGAAAAATTTAGTGACTGTTCTTGGGATCAGATTTTTTTTTATGTGGATGTCACAAAACATCAGCCTATCACCATCAGTTGATGGTGATCTTTGGGATCAACAGAGAAGAGGAGTTTTGGGAGTGGTATGTTTTGGGAGCATTGGGTGAAATTTGTGAAAAGGGGGCTTTGAGATCCTTGGATGAAAGACTACAGATGACCAAAGTGTGGTTATCTTTGTTCTGAGACCCTTCATTTTTGCCTGTATTCACAAAAAGAAAAGGAGTACTTGTGGCAGCTTAGAGACTAACCAATTTATTTGCGCATAAGCTTTTGTGAGCTACAGCTGATGAAGTGAGCTGTAGCTCACGAAAGCTTATGCTCGAATAAATTGGTTAGTCTCTAAGGTGCCACAAGTACTCCTTTTCTTTCATTTTTGTCATTACTCTCCAGAAAAAATATTTTTTTGCCTGCAGCATAATACAGTTTGAATGCATTGAACTTAAGTAGACTGATATTTGGAGCAAACTCAAGACAACTGGGTAGATCTTTTTCATGCCAAACTCCTTCTGTGGTTATTAAATATTCTTATGCAGCCTCTTCATATAAGGTTGATATGTTGTGGTTTGCCCTGAATTACCTTGCTGCTCTGTGAAGAAATAACTTTCCCTTCTAAACATGGTTTTGAAATAAAATGTTGCTGACTCTCAGATCAGGGAAAGGGGGTGGCCTGTTTGAAGTGTCATCCCAGTTTTACTCTGCGGACAGTTGGTTTACAGAAGGCCGTGTCTCAGAACTGATTAGCTCAGTGGTTCTCAAACTTTTGTACTGGTGAACCCTTTCACACAGCAAGCCGCTGAGTGCAACCCCCCCTCATAAATTAAAAAAAATGTTTTTATATATTTTAACACCATTATAAATGCTGGATGCAAAGCGGGGTTCGGGGTGGAGGCTGACCGCTCGTGACCCCCCCATGTAATAACCTCATGACCCCCAGTTTGAGAACCCCTGGATTAGCTGCTTAAGGACTGTAGGATGGGTCCTGAATCTTCAAAATAACCCTCAATGTAGTGACAGTCTTGCAAGGACTTGGATGCCAGGGCTTTTGGACAGCTGCGTTGATGGGTGTTTAAGATTTAGTTAAATTGTTGATAATGCATAGCTTTTATAGCACTTTTCATCAGCAGATTTCAAAGTGCTTTGCAAAGGAGGCCGATACCGTTATCCCAATCTTACAAATGGGGAAACTGAGGCACTGAGGGGTGAAGTGACTTGCCCAACATCACCCAGCAAGCCAGTAGAACCACTGGGAACGGAACTCAGGTCCCCAGAGTGACAGTCAAATGCTAACAAGGCCGCATTGTGTATGTTTTCCTCTTCAGCTTTTGGTAGAAGGGAGGTGGGGAGGTGGTATGTGCCTCTGATATAACTTAATTTTTTATTTTGACATGATTTCAGTGAACCTTCTTTGTCCTTGCTATTCGGTCTTATCACTGCAAGCGTAACACACGTTGACTTTGTGTAGAGAAACTTACAAAGGGTTTCCTACCAGTTTAGCTGAGAGCCATAGCGTGGACAAGGTTCTGGAGGTCTTTTTGGTGTGTTTTTTGTATAACATTTAATTAGACAGACTTCTCCACAGGTTTAACTACAGCTAGCTCTGGCCGCTGGAGCTTTGTCTTCTCTGAGGCACCTTCTGTCTATCGCTGGTTCAGCTGACCTGATATTGTGCCTGGTAGGATTTCTTGGTAAGCTCAGTGGGGCAGCGATTGTTGGTCTTTTTGTTCTGTGTTTGTATGGTGCCTACCGCAATGGGGCTCTGGTCCATGATCATCTCTTGGACGTTACCACAATACAAAGAACTCCTTTTCACAGCCATGAGAAGCAGCAGTAGTGTAGTCACAAGTAAACTGAATTTACCTACTTCTCATTTGGGGCACACGAGGTTTAGTTTAGGTTAGCTTACCCCCCCCCCTTTTTTTTTTTAAACTACTACACCATTGAGCTCCGATGTTCTTTTCAGAAAACAGAATGGGTTTAAAAACAGAGGTAAGCGTGCAAATTGCATAACGCTGTTTTTTTTTTTTGTTTCCTTTTTGTAGAGGGTCGGGGGGAGCGAGAACTTACTCTGACCAGTGTGCCTTAATCAGGATAATACAGATCTGTTTTTGGAGTCGTTCTTTGAGCTTCATGTTGATCTATTTATAATTTGTCCGTACTTATAGCAGAAAACGTACCTACCAATGTATAAAACCCCAAAGCAGCCTGTTTCTGGGTTATATCTGATCCTGAAGAACCAAGTTTTTTTGTCAATCCACTGTTTTTCTTGCAATCAAACTCTCTCTGCCTCTTGATCTTTTTATTTTTTCGGTGAAGGTGGTGGTAAACTCTTAGCCAGGGGCAAAACTCTTAACTCTTGGGTGTATGCTGGCAGGAAGGCGTGCTCTGGCTGGTGTGTTATTTATCCAGGGCTGCTAAAAGTGTTGGTTAATGGCTGACTAATTAAACAAGGCAGAGAGATAAAGGGAATGTGACCTGCATTAGGACAGCAGGCTGCGGAATGTAGCTCTAACTGGAGCACAGTTTGGTATCTAGCAGTGAGCGGGGAACAGCAAGGGGAAAGCTGGCTTCTTGGCAGGGTAGGGGAAAGTTTAGACCAGTTGGGCAAAACGATCATGAAAGTTCAGCCGTTGAGGTACAAAATCTACTTGATGGTGGCAAAGCTAACCTTTTCCCTTGCCTTTTCCAAAAATCACCATGGATTCATAGATTCCAAGGCCAGAAGGGACCATTGTGGCTATCGCATTTGCCCCAAATAACTCCTAAAACATAATGTTTTAGAAAAAACATGAGGTAGAAATTTGCAAGGGGAGCGCTTATTCCAAGGTTGAATAATCGGATGGCAGTACCTTATCTTATGGCTCTTAAGAGAGATGCTGATGAAAAGCCCTGTGTACGAGCGTGGTGGTGGTGGTAATATACTAATATTTCATGTATATATGTAAAAATACATCTCTAGTAAACTCCCATTTACTTCATTGGAAGCAGGCTTAAGCCAAACCCCAGTGCTTTTGAAAATGCTGGCCCAAAAGGATAGTGAATTCCTGCTTTTTCCTCAATAAGGGTCAGATCCTGCTTGTGCTGAGCCTCTTCGTCTCCTGTGGAAATCCTTATGACCCAAGTTTTCAGTCCGGGTAGCTGTGCCATTTGTTTAGGAAGGTTTCTGCTTGTAAAGAGAAACTTGACCAAAGTTTGTAGCAAGAAACTCTCTTGGGGAAGTGAAAGGAGGGTGTGAGGTGATTCCACTTCATTCAGTGCCTAGTTAGAGTCTGAAACTTGTGATACTGAGTCATTAGGTGGAAGTGGTGTGAAACTGTTAATGCCCTGCAGAAGGAAGGGAGTTTTCCTGAGTGTTACAAAAGCTGACCACATAAAACCAGTGTGACTAATAGGGAGGCATAGTTGTGGGTATTGAAGCTTTTACTAGTCATTTGCACAGGTGACTATAGTCAGCAGTGGGCCGTTAGCCCAGATTTCGCTGAGCCAGTAAACCAGGTCGGTGACTAGTGTCTGTGGATGCCGGGTCTCTGTAAAGAGAATGACTTGAGGGTGAGGGCTGGAGCTCAGTTAAATTTGGGGCTCTTTAATAGGACAAAAGGATATCATGAAAATCAAGGATTGGATGCACAGAGGTTGTCTCCCATTGCTGTTTTTATTAATCCTTATGTCTATTATGGTAGAGCCTAGGGCGAGCCAAGATTGGGGCCCTCTAGTGCTTGGTGCTGTACACAGAGTAATAGACTGTCCCTGCCCCAAAGAGTTTACAGTCAACGAAGGGGCAGTATATGCTACTCCCTGCAAAGAAACTGGATGGAGGTAGAGGCATCCGTGTGGGGAAAGATGTTCCCGGTACTCCAGAAATACCAGCTCGGCTTGCTCTGTGCTCCATGAATACCAGATGGCTTTGAGATTCATTAAAGGATGTGGGGGTTGGTAATGGAAATCTCCAAGATTAAGAAAGTTCTTGCTGGTTAGGAAGGAGGGTCTGTCCAGGTGCCGGAAATACACAAGCAGCCACTGATGCCTTCCCACTTCAAGGGAGGGATCAGGTGAGGAACCGCTCCATGTTTGGGTGAATAAAAGTGTCAGTCACACCCCGTGAGTCCAGAACTCTGTCCCAAAGGATCAATTTGACAGCTTGTGCCTTGCGCTGGATGTGAAAAAGAGGCCGTTCTCCTTTTGTGGTCACTAAAGGTCCGATGGCATTTTTGGCAAGAGCAGGGAACACTCTCTTGATAGCCCAGGGCTTAGTTTAGGAGATCTGTGTATTGTTCCTGGCTTCTTCCCGGATTCCCTGTATGACCTGGGCAAGTCACTTATTAGCTCTGTTCCTCCATTTCCCTAG